CACTGCCTCCAGCAGGCGGGTGGTCAATGTTTTCTTTTTTTTTTATAACTGAACAAACATTAATAAAATTAATAAAATGTCAGGATTATTGTTGAGTTCCAGGCTTTATAGAGTAGCCCAACAAAAACACGTGAACTGAACCAGAAGGACGGGTGCGGCCGTTAGTAACGGGGAGTCGTTAAGGTCATTCCCCCCCCCCCAGTAATGAGCTGACGTCCCCAATTCCTTCACCTTTAACTAGAGGAGGTTCAGGTGCTGTCGCCTCAGCCTGGTCCACTTCTAGAAGATCGCTTCTGCCCCCTTGTGGTGAAAAGTTATTATGAGACGAAGGTCAGATTTAAAAATAAAGGATTTCCTCCTTCAGCTTTAGCTCTTAATATATTAATCATCTCCAACCAGTTTTTGCTTTCAGCTGAATTTGTTTTTCTTCATTGATCAGGAGGTAAATGTGACCCAGTTCAGATCTTTCCCTCCCAGTAGGAGCCGCCCCCCCCCTCCCATTTCCACCTCCAATGAAACCCCAGCTGTACCGCTTTAATGTGAGGATCTAATCAGATGCGTTTCTAAGACGTCTCATTTCATCCATTCATCCAGACTCACTTTGGAAATACTTCTGCTCTCTTCCTTCTACCTTCCTTAGTGTTGTTGTGACGCAGAAACTCAGAATCAGAAACGGCTTCAACCCAGAGATCAGATCAGTTTTTGCCCACATTTGAAAGCTGCACAGCTCAGATATTTGGGGAATCGGGTCACATGAGCAGAAAGGTTGGATTTAGGTCATTATTGCCTGCAGTGCGAATGAAGCCCAGAAGGAAAAGGAGACCAAGAGCGATCCGTCGTCTGCATCACCAAAAGAAGAACATCTCCTTAAAGGGGAACGCCGTTAGGTTATATCCAGTAACGTCTTCCTATGGGCAACGACTTGAAGGCACAAACTAAACTGTTCATCATTTATTCTTTATGGTACGCCAGCATTCAGAACATGGAGGCCAATCACTGTCCCCCAGACAGCCGCGGTTAGATTTTTTATATTTATATA